TTCAGAACTTTGATGGCCCGAATTAATTAATTTTTAAACCTTAGGGACTGAATTATTAAATCCAAAACATAAAAGCCCAAATCTGAATATAACTTAAATGTTAGGGACTGAAACATTAAATTTATAACCCTAACCCTAATTGCAATCAGGAGCCTCAAATTATCTAATTTACAGAAGAAGCCTCCGCCCCAAATCTTGCAAAAAACTGAAAAACCCTAGAATTTTTTTTCCCTTCTTCTCCCTTCGTGGTGCCACCCGAAGCAATGGTGGGCCAGCGCCATTGGCAGAAACGTAGCAGCGCAAACTGCGCTGCTACGCGAAGCTGCTGCACGCACGCAGCTGCCTGCTGCCGGTACAGCCCAAATTTTTTTTTTAACCTAAAATTTGAAATTCAAAATCCATAAAATCCATAATCCGAAATTTCTCAAACCTCAATTATTTTTAATCCAAATTATGAAAGATAATGAAAAATTATATCGAATAGTTTTTAAATTCAACAAAACTAAATTAAAAGCTGTCAAATCTGAAACTTCATAAAATATTGCAAGAACCAAATTTAAACCTTTGATTCTCAATGATTTAATATGAAAAGGCTCTGATACCACTTTTAGGATAATTTAATGCTTTAAATTACCAGATCTTTCATGTTAAATCATCAAGAAATTGAAGAGCTATAGCGGAAACGTACCTGAATCAGACATGGTTAATGCAATAATGAATTACGCGGTCTTGTCTTCCAAATCTACACGCAGTCTCATTTTTTCTTTCTGTGACGGGATGCAGTAGAGAACGAATAATATGTACGTGTGATCTGGAGACTATAACCGTATTTATATAGCAACGCCCTTTGACCTAATTCGGCCCATCATAAAATTGGGACTTGGGCCCGGTCTCTACACATATGTAAATCCACACTTTAATTGGATACATTAAAGTCCAACACCGAAACCTTATTAGATCACTTTAATTGGGTTCAATTGAATTCGATAGTTTTTAATTTAACACACAATTATTCACACATATAAGCCCATCGATGAATTAAAAAATCCTTACAATTAGAATTTAGAAGCTCAAGAGATTGCTGATCAGAGTTGCAAAATAGTACAATCATGTGAAAGATGATGTTTTATGATAAGAATTATACAATCTTTTCATAGATGGCAAGATATTATATCTTTTATTGGATAAACTTTGTTGCTGAAATGTCCGAAGAAGAGTCCTCATCCAATAGAAGCGGGACTCGAAAGATTCTAAGAGCATGTCCAAAACCTTGCAAAATAGTACAATCATGTGAAAGATGATGTTTTATGATAAGAATTATACAATCTTTTCATAGATGGCAAGATATTATATCTTTTATTGGATAAACTTTGTTGCTGAAATGTCCGAAGAAGAGTCCTCATCCAGAAGAAGCGGGACTCGAAAGATTCTAAGAGCATGTCCAAAACCTTTTTTTTTTTTTTTTTTTTTTACTAAAGCCCTCGTTTGGTTCTGATTTTTCTAACCTTACAATCAATTTTTGGACCGTTATTTAACACGGCCAGCCTTCATTTTTTATTTCTTCATTCACAGTTGATATCCATTTTTCTCTCTAACAGTCAAAAAATTGATTTTAAGAATCAGTACCAAACATGCCCTGATTTTTTTTCAAGAATAGTTGGGTGCTTTTACAGTTATTTACCTGTCTGTGGGTAGATTTAATTAATATGATGTGATTGCATAGATAATGATGCTATTGGTTTGTAGTACCTCTTATTTTAATTGATACTGAAAAAATTGAGTACGTTTAATTTCTTTTTTAGAAAATTTGTTGTCTTCTCCAAGTTTTCATAATATATTATTTGAACTGTTTGTGGAATATTTTTAACAATGCTTATATAGAGAATCAGGAATTTTTTGGTGAGAAAGACGTTGACATTAATGTCCATTTCTATATTTTCTGATCATTTTGGGGTGAGGGACTGCCATATTGCATACTCTGGTCAATAATCATGTGGAAGCGTGGGATATCTTTTCTGATTATTAGAGTTTAATGATTTTAGTTGAATAGAATATTTTATTATCATTAGGGTTTTACTTATATACAAATTTTAAAATTAAGGACTTTGACTGTGATTATTTATTTTTTAATATTCTTTCATTTTTTTCTATTATTTATTTAAAGAGGATGGTAGATTAGTTATTTCTATAGTGTTTTAATGGAGAAAATATATGATAAGGACCTTTTGAACAAAAGAAATGTTTATACGAGGGTCCAAATGCTAAAATTGAAATGATATGAACAATTTGCATAATAAAGACAAAACGACAGGAATATTTTGTACCAACTATCTATTTTTGATAGAAGGAATTGGCGGAAGGAGACGGAAATGACCAACTTTATAAGAAAAAGTTGAAATGAGTGCAAATGTCAAATTTGAAACGATAACAACATTTGCTCATTTAGTGCAAACAATGGGGACATTTTGAGTTAATTACCCAAATATAAATTACTTTTCAATAGATATTCCATTGGAAATATAAATTTTTGAAAAATAATTATTCATTTGTGAAGACGATGATTTTTTTAATTTTTATTTATTTATTTTTAAATTGATTACCCTTCAATTACAATTTTTTGGTAGGTGAATAGTTAAATTTTTTTAGCCCTTGTTTGAGCTCTATTTTTGACATAAAAATGCATTTTTGAATAGTGTATTGATATGAAATGTGTGTTTAAAAAATAAGAATTTTTTTTTTTTGGATTTGCGTATAATATTATTTTATTAAAGAATGTGCGGTTGAAATGATATCAAAATACTGTTTAAGAATACATTTTCTTTCCAAAGAATGGGGCTCAAATGAAAGCTTAGTTATTAAAATTGATTAATATTAGAAATGGATTTTTTGTAGGTGATATAAATTACTTTTCACCTACGGAATATCTGTTGGGACGATGAATTTTTTTATGAAAAATTTGATTATTCTTCGACTACGAATTTTTAATAGGTGAATGGTTGAAATTTTTTAATTATTAAAATTGATTAATGTCATTCACTAATTTTTTGTTGGTAATATAAATTATTTTTAACCTACAGAGTTTTCGTTGGTAAAGAGGTTGGAACATTTAAAAAAAAAAAAAATTGATTTAAGTTACTTACGTAATATCTTTGGTATAGAACTATCACCTTTTATCAGTGAAAAAGCTGTTGTTGATTTATTTAATTGAAAGTCTATTACTTTTATCAATGGATGATCCATTTCCATTTATCAATTGATATATCGTTAATTATCCATTAGCAAAAACTATATATCAATAGTGCGTGCCAAAAGATCAAGAAATTTGGATAACCCAATGACATGAGAATCGACAATAAAACCTCTAATGTATGACAATCGTAACTTTAACAAACCTAAAGTTACAAAATTAGTTGTTTGATGAGTTTTAATCCACATGAATCATTATAATTGCATGGAGAGTCGAACCAAGAGCACAGGAAAATGAAGAGTAGTTGGGAAACACACCTCCCACATCATATGCAATCTAACATTCATGAGGATGAGCATTGCGCTAGTCTAATCTTTCCTTAAAAGTTTATTTATATAAAATATTAAATATCACGTCAAGGGAGAATAATTTGTTAGACGAGTCTAACCCTACTACTATTCAATTATTTCAATAATACATTCTTTTCGTTTTTCAATCTGTATTTAATTGAATGTTAATTATTATGGATGCATGTAAATAAATAATTGAATTGTATGATAACATTCATTCATGAACATGAAATTTAATTAATTTGAATCAATAAATATGGAAAAAGAATAATTTATATACATTTAGATAAAAGGCTCTGTACATTAACCAACGTGAAATTTAAATGAATATAGAAAAAGAATAATTTATAAACATTTACACATACATGAACCAACATGGAATTTAATTAATTTAAATTAATAGATATAGAAAATAATAATTTATATACATTTAGACAAAGAGTGTTATATCATAGATTAAATGAATAATATTGAATATTAATAAGTAAACTTGAATAATTTATCTACTCCTATAGTAATTGATGAATAATTTATTTAGTCCTAGAATAATTGAATAGCTTGCAAAACGTAGAATAATTGAATAGCTTGCAAAACGTATATGATGTGCATGAACTTGAAGACTTGATGTGATATTTAATATATTTATAAATAAATGTTAATTACTATACATGCTCATACATAAATAATTGAATTTTAGTACTTTTAGATTAATTATATAGTCCCAAAACATATACAGTGTACATGAATTTGAAGTATTAATTGATTGAATTATAGTACGGTATATATAATAAATGTTAATTATTACACATGCACGAAAATAAATAATTAAATTGTATAAAAAAAATCATTTCACATAAAAAAATTTTAATTATTTTTTATATTAATGCATCATCAAATATTACTTTTATAACACTTATATAAAGCATTTCAGAATTATGTACAACGTACGTTCACCTGCGACTACTTGTATTAAAAGGTCATCTCTTGAATTTGAGCAATGAAAGAAACAGGTTGGTGAACCACATAGATATTCAATAATGAATACAGGCCATAACCACACTAATGAGTCCAATTTTTTGGACAAGATCCACTTTAGTATATGAGCCCTCCGTTGTCAATCGAAATCATCAATCCGATCGTACAACAAGCAAAATTCTTGGTATATAATCGTGGCTAGATGCCTGAGGAGATTTAAAGGCAACAATCACACAACCACTTCTCATTTTCAACTCACGATAATCAAATGGGATATGCTATACGAACATAGTGCTTGACACGACGGTTGAAATAGTACTCACATATTGGAAGGTCGACATTATTTTATTCATGGGGTCCCACATTTCGACTCTGAGTACTATGTGAACTGCCATGTCAACGGCTACGTTCATTTGACTTTTTCCTAATCAAATAACGAATAAAAATATATATTCGAAATTCTCAAATAATTCCATTTCTGTCTCTGCGCTCAGGAACAAATGCAGAACAAGAACAGCAAATATTTGAGAGAGGGGGTTAGGGCATCTGAATTTATTCCCTCGTTCAATCAAAGCCCTAACCTCTCCAATTCTATTCTCCGCATAAGAAAGAAAAAATATTCAATAATCTTGTTATATATATAAGCATATATGTCTCCGTAGATGCAATAATTTGGGGAAGAATTAAAGGAAAATGAGTGGTCAAGTGGCTCCTAGACGGAACAGTATGGTTCAGAAGCGGAATCCGTCTACCCAAAGGAAGTCTTCAGCTCCTCCTTCCAAGAATGGTGTCGCCTCCAGTGGGGTGCAAACAAATTCCACCTTCCCTCTTCACTCGTGAGTTCCCAGCATGAATTTCTATTTATGCATATATTTGTGCCTGAATGGGTGTATTTTTGTATTTTTATGGTTGGGATCTTAGTGAATTTATTAAGTATTCAGGTGGTCAACAGAATGAGTTGATAAGATAAGGTACAATATTTACTTGAAGCTTCAATATTTAATGTTTGTGAAATTCGCTTTGTGAATGGCTGGTGTATGTGTATTTTTGTCACGAGAAGTTAGTGAATTTGTTAAGAATTGAGTTGGAAAACATTGAATTGTGTAAGTGAGGTAAAATATTTACTTTAAAGTTCAATCATTAATACTTTCTCCTCTGTCCGTAAATAAATGCTTGCTTTTCCAAATTATAGTTCACTTTCATTTTTGAAAGTTTGATATTTGATCTTATGAATATGTATATAAAAGTTTGTGTATATATTATGTGTTTTTGAATGGGTGTATATTTGTAATTTGTTTGTGTTAGTGAATTCATAAGAATTGAGTTGGATAAACAATGAGTTGATAAGAGTAAGTTTCAATATTTACTTGAAGGTCCATTCTTATGAATATGTGTATACATAAGTATGTGTGTAGGAACGTGTGTATATGTGTACTTATTGAATTTATTAAGGGTCGAGTTGGATAAATAATGTGTTGATATAGTAAGGTATAATATTTTCTTGAAGACTAAGAAGCATGGGTTCGGATACGATATGTTAGGGTGCGTTGATACATCTTTTTGAAAAATAGGATATGCGGATTTGTTTGTGTATATAAAATATATGTGTAGTAAAAGAACCTTGAAATGCATTAAAAGTTTTCGTACTATTATATATTTATAATAATAAAACTATAGTTGTCAACTAATAACACGGTTTTACATTTGTTAAAAGTTTTAATACTATTGTCTATTTTCAGTAATAAAACTCTAGTTCTGAATTAATTTAAAACTCTAGTTGTGAATTTCCAATAATAAGTGTAAACTCTTAATTTATATATTATCTTAAAATACGTTTACTTTCTTTGAAGTTGACCCACTTAAAAAAGTATTGACACATTCTTTATTAAAAAAAAAGGTCTTCTGCCTAGGTTTTGGCTTTCAACTTTCTAGCATCATCTTCATTTCTTGGAAAATAATGTTTAGGATTTGGCTGTCTGCCTCTATATCTCTCTCTTCCACTACACTCGCTAACGACAGCCTCTTTCACTTCACTTCACTTTTCTGCGATGGTCTTTTTCATTAGACTCACCGGCATATTAGTTTTTCTCTGTTTTTCAGAGCATCTGCCGCAGTTTTCCATGTCCACAAACCTGTGGGATTTGAAAAAAAATAAAAATGGACATATGCCATGTGGTATTTTAGAGATGTGTCGGAGAGCGTCTGGCGCGTGTCGTCGTCCGATACATGTCAAACTTGGACACCTTTTATTCAGAATGGTAAAGAGGCCCTATATTATCATCGACCATATCCCTTTCCATATTGGGCTCGGGACTAAAAGAATGGTTGGGACAACAAACATCCATCCTTATGAACTAATTGTTCTACACTTCTTACTTGGTGTAGCTTGTTACATGGGTCGTGAGTGGGAGCTTAGTCCTCCCAAAAGGACGTGTACACCGATTCAATTTTGGTTAGTGTATGGAGATTGCACGACATGCTGGGCTTTGATCTAGATTTATATTTCATTACTTTTATCTATTTCATGCATGTCTATTGTCATTGTTTATAGAACTTAATTACAAGTTAACGAGTCTTACTGTATCAGATACTACAGCAATCTTGAAATAATAATGTGACAGATGGGATAGTTATACTAAATACAGCAGCTTTGCTATTAGGATACATTGAGTTTTGGTCTATAGACCAAGGAAAATTGAATGCTATTAGGTAACAAGCAGCCGGAATAGAGATTGCATTTGTAAACCTGTTAAATGCAAATGGTACCAATTAGTGCTGTTGATTTCATCGAGCTAAGTTTCCAGGCAACCAATGGTCCTGATCCATGAAGCACTATTAAGGTGGCATGTCCTTGTCCGAAACGTGTCATGTCGTGCTCGACACCTACACTGCACTCTAGAACACATGACTGACGCACCATGTCACATGTCCTATTTTTCAATTATTATTTAAATTTCAGACATTGGAGGGATAGTTTAGGTACACTTGGGCACTGTATGACATGCCATGGTGTTCTGGATTGTTCATATTCTTTATAGTTCTAACTTCTAACAAACGGTGAATATTCCTTGACACCAAGGACAAGGAAAGTCCCTTTTGTAAATTTTTGAAATATAAATTGAAGAAATATTTAACTAGAATAATCATCCAAAAAAGTCAAATAATTGAGAAATGTTCTAGGAACTTCTTGTTGATTTTTTTTATTTAATTTAATTTTTTTTGTTTTATTTTTTATTTTTTGTTTTTACGTCTACTATATGCATTTTTCTTTCTTCGGTACTATTTATATAGTTTAACTCAGTTATTTTGATATAACAAATAGCTTATTATGCTCGGACTCGGGTATGGATATCGGGTACAGGTACGGGTACGTATCTAAATATCGAATGTTTTACTTTTCTAAAATGTAGGATACGGGAACATGGTTAAAAAATGTCCATATTTCGTTATTATGGGCCTTTTATCAACCTCATTAACCTATCAACACTATTAATATGACTTTTTTGTCAACCTGCCTAGCCTAAAAATAATTTATTTGACTAAAATCACAAAAACTGTATAATATTTGGAAGATATAAACCCTTGTATAAATTGTAGTGTCCAGGTGGAACACCCGTACTTGTGTCATGTCGACACATGTACTACGGCCATTTTGAAGAGTCCGAGTATCACAGCAAATAGCTACTTTTCTCACTTGAGAGATTTCACAAACAGAAAATCAAAACGAAAAGAGGTATGTATTTCGTAAAAAAGAGAAGTAATGATTTATATTGATGTGGTGTCATCGTGCCCGTAGGAAGTAGCAAGGGCCTGGTTGATCAACAAGGAAAGTGCTGAATGAGGCACCTGCTCACACAGCCGTGCATGAATATTTCCATTACAGTTTGTTAATGCTTTAGGGGGATTAATTGGGGAAATTTGTTGAATGAGGTTTAGGAGCCAAATTGAAAAGAAAAGGGTGGGTAGTCTGTTAAATTCATTTGGATTTTGAGAGTTGTGAGAGAGAGCCAACCTCTAAAGAGCTTGACAATCTACTGTAATTCATTACCATTCCTTGTAATTCAGTTAATTTTTTCTATGCAGTACAAAACTATACAAATGTATTCCGTACATTATTCCATTGCATTCATTCACTAAAGAAATTAAAAAATACACATGCAAGTCACAAATACATCATCTGTTCTAAACTTCTCCTCACTTTTGCACAATCTGTTGTTACATCGACCCTTCTATAGTGGCAACAAACTAAGTTCCTATCACATACTTATTTGAAAAATCGCATGTTGACGTGTCCATCTCACGTGTCTGTGCTTCTTATTTCCTGCAAATATGTCCTGGTTAGGAAATATCGTTGGGCTCAAGCTGGTATTGGTGGTCATACATTTGTTAGCTTATGTTTTTATTAGTTGAAGCTCTCAAGCAATATTCAGTTTGTTGTTTTCTACTCAACTTTCTTGCTCTTATCTGCGTGCTCAGTGGAGAAATTCCAATGAAGATGCTAATTTACTCTTCTATTTTTATGTACCCAATTCCAGGCACAGAGAACTTAGATGAGCTTGTTTCTTCTGTTATTCAAAGGTTGGGCGGCATCACGATCAGCGCCCTCAACTTTTGGTGAGTGCAGAAGCATTTCGCGAAGTTATCGGTCAATTTTTCT